AATTGTTAAGAAGCTGAAGGTTTCGAAGAAGATGAATTATGATGACTTGGAAGAATTTGTCTCTGATAGCGGATATTGATGCTAGGATCTTGGAATTTTGACTCAGTGATCTGAACTTCTTAAACTTGTGTTAAACTTCTGCTTCTCTATTTCAGATGTTTGTTTCCATAAGGAATGTCTGAAATGCTTCATACCTGGAAGAATATCAATCTGAAATAAAAACTCAAAAGTGAACTGGTTANTATGTTCATGATCTGTTTCAAGGGTTTTTTGTGTTTTACTTCCTGTGTTGTTCCAACAAATAACAACTGGATTAATTTTGGGGGTTTAATTTTGTTTAAGGTAATTTTACTCTTGATGCTTTAATTAATAAAATCGAGATGTGTTCAACTGAAGATAGCGTTTGTGCAGAAAGAATTTAACCCAGTTTGTAATTTGATTATTGTCAATTATCACCTAACAAGGTTTTCTTTTGGTGAAAGTTTATGAAGAAACAAGATTGGCTTACAAAAGGCAAAACTGGATTTTCATTGAAAAGGTTTTGAAAAATTGATGTGGTTTAATTGCACTTTGCCCTGAGTTTTTCCTGGCTCTTGACAACTCCTAGGTATTGTTCATGTGTTTTTCTGTAAATCCATTTCTGAGGATCCACGAGTTCCTCTTAAGAGGTTATGCAAGCAATTGGTATGGTAGATTTACGTTCAGCCCAGAATACCTCTCTATGTTTCTCCACATATCAACTTCACCTCTTGAAAAGAGAAACATGTAGGCACAAGGCAATCCTACTTGGAAGCCATGAGCAATAATGCTTTTTTGCCTTTACCCCTTCCTCCTGCCCTCACCCACTCTCTTGCAAACTATGATTATTAACCTGAGGAAACAATCTTTTACTTGGAAACTGCTCTGGGATTACAGTGGCCCTGGAGACCATGCAACGTCTTTAGCTTGACAAGTTCAAATGAAGCATTTTCAAAGTTGGACATGATTATGTGAAGAAAGGATGACGTATGCAGAGATATTTGGTAGCAACTTAGATCCAAGGTTGATTTCAGTTCTTATTGTGTTATATTTCAAATTTCGGTCATTCCTGTTGGCGAGAATTACCAGCCTGAGTTATACGGAACAATTTCCTATTTTGCTTCCGCTCAATTGAATCTATAACAATCAAGGAAAGAGCTCACTATGTATTAAGTTTTAAATACTACTTAAGTTGAACTTGTTTTTCTCCATCCAGGTTTCTTGATTCCATAGTAGAAGTTTGAAATTTTTTACCTTTCTTAGAGGTCCTAAAATTTATGGCCGTGCAGTTATTGATATTCATAAGTATTTGCATTATTTTTGAATATGGTCTTGAAAGATTAGTGCTCACCACAGACCTAGGCACATGTTATCGAAATTTCAATATTCTGTTTGTGGATCGTTTCCTAGGAACATGCCAATAAAAAGAATCAATTTTATTAAGATACCTCTGATTTTTTTGACAGCAAGCAAACATGTTGCTCAAATACTTGATGGGAAGGTGATGGCAGAGGAAATAAGATCAGGCATAGCCCTTGAAGTGAAGAGGATGAAGGAGTCGATTGGGCAGGTACCTGGATTGGCTGTCATATTGGTGGGTCAACAAAGAGACTCGCTAACCTATGTCCGTAACAAAAAAATAGGGAGTGAAGAGGTTGGCATTAAGTTTTTGATGACAATGCTCCCGGACAATTGTACAGAAAATGAAGTTTGCAAGGCCTTGCAAAGTTATAGCGAGAATCCATCAGTTCATGGTATTATTTTACAGCTTCCCTTGCCACGGGTAAAATTTCTGACCATCTATCAGTACTATTGAAGGAAATTCCTAGTCATTAATACAAGACGTCTAACTTAACTGTCTGTTGGACTTTTTTTCAAATTACTAAAAATGTAACTGGAACAGCACTTGGACGAGGGAAAAATACTGGGTTTGCTAACCTTGGATAAAGATGTTGATGGATTCCATCCTGTAAACATTGGGAATTTGGCTATGCTAGGAAGGGAGCCTTTGTTCATTCCTTGTACCCCAAAGGGTTGCATTGAGTTGCTGCTCCGTTCAGGCATTGATATAAAAGGGAAGAAGGCTGTGGTGATTGGAAGGAGCAATATTGTTGGATTACCAATGTCCTTGCTGTTGCAGGTGATATCGCGTTTCTTCTTCCTCTCTTCTCCTACTTCCAAAGTTCACCTCCCATCGTTCTTATACTTTGAATTAATGTTTTAGAATCTTCTCCTCAATATTGACTTCTGTACTAAACATCCAATTGTTCAACTTTTGAGCAGAGGCACCATGCTACTGTGACAATTATTCATGCGTATACGAAAAACCCAGATAAAGTTGCCCATGAAGCTGATATTTTAATTACAGCTGCTGGAGTGCCCAATTTGGTGTGCAGGAATTGGTTAAAACCTGGTGCAATAGTCGTTGACGTTGGCACTACCCCGGTTGAGGTAACCTCTAGTTTCTTGAATGATGAAATATAGCATCCTTTTGTTTGTTCTCTTATTTGTGTTGAAAACTTGAAATATTTGCAAGGATCCTGAGTGTGAACATGGTTATCGGCTCATTGGAGACGTTTGTTTTGAGGAAGCATCAAAGGTAGCTTCTGCAGTTACGCCTGTGCCTGGAGGAGTTGGACCAATGACTGTTGCTATGTTGCTTCATAACACTCTTGAATCTGCTAAACGGGCATTTAAATTTAGTTAGCTAATTACTCTCATATTTTTATTGATATGTACACGTAAACATAGGCGTCCAATTGTTTCCCATTTTTATAATAAGAATTCATTTTGGAATAGTAGATTGATAAAGAATGTATGGTCAAAAAATAAGGAAAAATTTTGGGTTTGCGTATAATATTATTTTATTGAAGAACGTGTGATTGAAAAGAAGGAAGATAAAAATTTATTTTAAGAAAAATGGGTATCAAACAAAGGCTATATTTTCTGTGGGTAATACTCTTAAAATTTTTGTAGTTTGATATGGAATGGGACTTAATTATGAAGTTTGGAAAGTTTAGGGCTAAAAATGAATATACTAATTTTCTAAGGGACTAAAGTTAAAATATCCCGTTGGTTGAGATAATACTAGTGTTTTAAAAAGCGGTGCTTAGCGAGAGCAAAATGTCTAGCTTCACGCCTTTTGAGCTTTTTCAATTTAATTTAATTTTTTTCCGCCTAGGCGTGTTTAGATCGCATTTTTTACGCTTTTTAATTATTAATTAATTGTTAGATTGATTTAAAATTGTAAAAATAAAATTAAAATAAGAAAACGTTTTTTTTTTACACTTTTTAATGCCTAGGCTTCGTCTAAGCTCATTTAGGCCGAAACTCGGTCTTCACGCCTTACATTTTTTAGAACACTAGATAACACATTGAAAATTCAAGTTTTAGGATATCTTAGTGGTTTCTAGAAAGTTTAGAGGCTGAAGTACAAATGATTCTAAAAATCTAAAATATTGGTTATTTCATAAAAATAATAGCATGTTTCGAAAGGGTTTACAATTAGTTAAAATTATAAATATATATAAATAAATAATTGAGAAGTTGATAGTACACGTGAATTTATCGTGAACGTGATTTGAATATTTTTAAACCATTTATAAACATGAGCTGAACATTGGCCCAAGTAAAATATGTGTGATCGTTAAGTTTCTTTTAAAATTTGAATTGCCAGAAAGATTTATGAATAAAAATTGGGTAAACGTTCAAGAACTATCTAGATTAAAATTATAATATTTTACAAATTTTTTGTTCCAATTGTGCACTTTTAAATATTTTCGGATATTCGGGAGTTACAGTTGGAAACGGCAACGGAGTTGGAGAAGAAACACACCAAAATCAGCAACAAAGCACCGGAACAAAATGGAAGGCTCGAACGCGTTATCGTTGTCCTCAAACTAAATTTTCCTTATCTCTGGATTGATTGAGATGCTTAAAGGTTTCCGGCAAACAGTTTATAGAAGTAATCAAACATTGTTGTAGAATTACACCAAATCACAAGATGTAATTCTACCCAAACTAGAGAATACAAAAGTGAAGTGAATATGGAGAAGAAAAGAATGAATTTGTATTGCTTTGGAATGATATATGATTTTAATAATGTTTTTCAACCGCATCCAAATGAACTAGGATCACCTATTTATAGCCCTTAGAATCATGGTACGAAATGGTGCTAAAAATAATGAAAAGCTATCAAATTCAAAACCACAAGGGCTATAAAACAGTAAAAAAGGGCCAAAATTTACTCTATGCTAGGAGCTCAATACAGGGATTTTAATCTATGTTAAGGGTGGCCTCCAACACTATTTTTTCATTCCAAACTCAATTTTTTTGAACAACTATTTCCAACAGTTACAAGAAAAAAAAAATTTATTTCTAGTGAGATAAAGGATTATAACAAGTATAACAAAATCTTGACGTAAGATCAATGGATCCAAATGAGATCAAGCCCAAATCACCCTCAATTATACTTTATTTTTCTCAACTTTAAATAATTCACTTAATAATAATAATAATAATCTGAAAATACACACATATATAGATAAATGAATTATTTTATGAAGCTTCCACCTATTCAGATAAAAATTAACGTGACGAACTATTGCATTCTCATCAACCAAAGATGGAAATGATGAAAGGGTTCTAATCTCTTCAATAATACATCTGAAGTGCAAAACTATGGATGTTTTCCCTTCCCACAATGATTAAAATGTTTTAAGTTTTGAAAAGAATAAACCATTTTTCAACAGATATATATCGGCACTTAACGTAGTCATATACTATCAACACTCCATGTTAAACCTCGCAGAGCTATGAAATTATCAACACTCTATAACTGATGATTTGAAGGAGTTTGAATAAGGAAGCTTCCCTCACATTTACAATGTAACATCAGTGTATTCGATTCAAGTCTTTGCTTTTCAGAGTAGATGATATATAATATGATATATCCATAAAACTCAAGTTCAGCATTACAAAACTCAAAGCACCATCAAGGAAACCTGCAAAAATATTAGCACACAGAAAATTAGTACAATTTTGTCAAATTTGCATACTAAACAACAAGTCCAATAAATCATCCCCTGTAGATCTTTTTAGCTGACTTTTTCAGGAGTCACCACTTGCATGTTTGGTTAAGCTTAAAAAGGAACAGTATAACTTGTAACTTATTTTGAGAGTAACTCACACCTTACTTGCAACATAAGTAATTTATTTCCAACTCAGACAACTATAAAAGGTTAATTATATTAAAAATTTACTTATTTACTTATATGTAAATTTTTTAAGCTTAGCCAAACTTACTCCTCCATACTGGAAAAGTCACATTCAGAGTGCATTTCTATAGTTCTACAAATCATATGAAAATGAAAAGAACTAAAAGGACTAGAAACAATTTTACCATATCAAGTTGTTGATTCACCCTAGATATTTTAGTAAGACTCCATCATTCCCTAGCACAAACCCTTGTTTGTCATTGATAAACCTGCAGCGGATATATTAATGAGTTGTGAGGTTCTAGAGTAATTGAAATGCTGGGGAAAAGCAAATTAATATTAAAATTATCAATGGCGCAAGACAAATGTTTAACAATAAATTTAAATAGAATGAATCATCTTCCAGAAAGTTTTAATAATAAATTTTCAGTAGACAAATGTTTCAAACTAAAGTAAATACAGAGTGAAGCAAAAAGTGAGTATATATTTGGAAATGATGATGATGCAGAAATGCTTAGGTGTTATTTATTCAAAATAGTTTTGATAGAATAAGTAAATTAATTCATTATTGTGAAGAAAAAAACATCTCACTTTACAGAATACAGATTGGCAGCAATGTTATCAGCTGCCTTGTCACGAATCCATGTCTTCCCACTATTCTTGGTTTTTAAAAGAATTCCACTCCCACCAGCAGCCCAAGCCTCCTCCTACAAAATTATATCAGCCAGATAATGAGTTGCACAGCACTTAAAAAATTTATGACTATATAACAATAAAAGAACATAGTCGGAGAACATAGTAATTGGCTCATAGATAATCAACATTGAATCTGAAAGGTATTGATTTCTTTCTGCGACAAAAGGGGAGTGATTGATGACATGAAGATATTGAACAGATAAAATTAATTATTAGATTACAGGATTTAACTAATTAATTTGGAATTAACAATTTTATTTATGCAATTTCTATAAATTAAGGATGTCAATTATCTATGGTATTTCCCATTTAGTACTCTTGGAAAGCCAATGTAAACGTGAACTTTCTAAGGATTTTAGAAATATATAATCCGCAAAAAATTATAGACGTAAACTCAGTTTTTTTTTTTTTTTGGTTTAATTTAGTTGAATTGAACTTTACTTGTTCTTCCAGGTAGCTCTCATTCTCCATTAATTGGCAAATAATATTTACGTCACTGCTTAATTTTGCCTGTCTTTTTATGTAATTGCAATCTTTAGATCAAATAAACCTAAGGACATTCAGCCAACATATTCAACATGCAAAGAAACAATATTGGGTGGTGTAGCCACCACATGCTTCAATCTCCAAGTCCCATCTGTTCACTCTCTCTATTTTTCTTGAACATGGACATTAAAATAATTGCACAATAAATGTTTTGAAATGATCTATTTCATATGTACAGACACTTAAACTGAAGCTGCACTTTAGATTCTTGAAACACTTAAGGAGCACTCATGTTTGTCATGGTACTCATTGCCACAGCCGAATCGTATGGAGGTGTGACACAAGTAACCTTTTCTGCTTGCCCAGTATCATTGAGAAAATCCCTTTCTACAAATAGATTATTTTTACACTTTATACTAAAGTTTGAGATCTAGCTTAAACAGTAGAAGAATTTTATGTATGAGAGTCCCTTCTGTCTAGGAACCTTATTTAGAAATCTTCCAAGGTGTGCATAGCAATGGTCACAATATGGCTTCCTTCACATCTTAAAACATATTGAATCTTTTTTCACGATCTTTTCCTCTATAAATTCAAAATATCATCTTGATAAATATCACCATTGTCTAAATTCATATATACCTGAGAACGGTACCCAACATCAAGAATGCCAAAACCACGACTCTGAACTGGTATTTCTTCAAATTCTTCTGTTATCTGCAAAACAAAGACAAAACAGAATTTGACAGTTTATTCAGTGAAAGCAGAATTATCAAGTAATTTACAAAATAAGCAGAGCACAAACACATCTGCAAGAGAGAATTATATTAACAGAGAGCATAAGAAGTAACCTAAAAATTGTATTAGGAAGGATGCACTTGAATTTTGAAAAACAAAAAACAAACAAAACTGCAAGATACCTATTCCAAATAGTGACGATGTTAGCAAAGAGAGAAAGTATCAACTCCATTAATTCATTTCACTAGGAAGCAGTTAATTAATTTTACCCCTCAATAAACAAAATTAATGTACACAATACACGAACTGAATCCATAGCAAACCTAGTGTGAAGACATTTACTCTATATCATTATTTGAAATGATGAGTTCTTGATAAGTGAATTTATTAACAAGATAAGAGTAGAGAGGCGGAAAGGCACATGTCGGACTAGTTATATTGAGTCTTAGGTTCCCAAAAGATAAAAAGTCCATAATGAATGCAATGGAAATTTGGATATTAATATGGACGAGTGGACAATAAATTACCCAAAGGAAGACTTAGTGATTGCTGCCATACAACTAAAGAAATCTTTTCATTCACAAGAGTGACGTATGGGAACAAGTTAGAAAACGGAGAGGTAGACAAAACTTAACACATTCTGATTTGAATAATTTAATTGCATTGAATTTTCTACTCATGTAGCAAAGGTTTATACAGAATAGCGAAAATGGATCATATAACCTACTCCAAGTTTACTGAGAATAAGACACAGAGCATGTTTGGGAAGTGTGTATAAACGGGTTAAATTATAAATAGATAGAAATGATTAGTGGATAAGTGGGTAGTACTTGTGGGCCCCTAGAAATGTTTGGATAAAAAGTAGCTTGAGTGTTTATAAGCACTTCATTTGAGCCAAACATATGCTTAATTTGTTGTTATACAGGTTTACTTTTGTGAGTTGACTGGGGTATATATGAATCTGAATTAAGTTTGCAAGCTTAGAAATGTGGATAGCTTCCTGTTAATCACAATCAAATTCATAGGCTTGCGACCGCATGACTGTCATATACAAAGTTCTGTACATTCATACTCAACACTAGATATGAATTAAGTTTGCAAGCTTAGAAATGTGGATAGCTTCCTGTTAATCACAGTCAAATTCACAGGCTTGCGACCTCATGACTATCATACACAAAGTTCTGTACATTCATACTCAACACTAGATATGGCTTCCAATTCATCTTCAATTCGTGTCACAACTCCACTTGTTGCTTTATGTTTTCTTTTATTACCTCATTGATTTTAACATGGCTATACATCCTCTTAACATCACAATTTCTTCTACATTCATAGTCCTGTTTGTTCTCTAACAACCTAACACTCAGTGTTATAAAGCATAGAATGTCAAAACACTATTATGTAGTATCTTCCTATCCCATAGAAACTTTGTACCCTTTTTCCATCTCATTCAACCGTCTTTAATCCTATGCATTACGTCATTTTCAAGTTATCTTTCATTACAAATAAAAAGCCTAAATACATAAAGCAATCACTCTATAGGATGCCATAAGATCTATAGTGATTCTATGCACTTCATCTGAACTCTATATAATCTAAAACCTCCAAGTTCTAACTGGTGCGGAAGCGTTTAGAAATTCTTATAATAAGAATTGAAAATAAGAATTATATTGAAATAATCTTGCTTTGTATTGATATATGATTGATTGATCAAAAAGTGTACAATACCCATATATTTATAGGCAAAATTATTCTCTAATCCTATAATAAAAGGAAACTAAAATAAGAAAACTAATAAAATCCTAATTTAATTAAAAATCATATTCTAATCAATAAATAAAAAAAATCCTATTCTAAATAAGAAATAAGAATAAGAAGACAAAACATATTAAAACTAGAAAAGATAAATCACAATTATAGTAGGAAACTACTAATCATGATTATGTACTACATCACTAACTTACATAATAACACCCTCTTTTATCAACTAAAACTGTGATATTAGTAAATAATATAGACCGAGGAACATTATTGTAGATAATCTTTTGTAAGCCCATCTATGACTATAGCAAAAAATATGGACTAAGATACAGCCATAATGCAAGCCTACATTAATAGGAAATTCAATGGTACCACCACTAGTCTGACTCATATTTGCATCATCCTCCATATCCTTAACAACACTGATATATCTAATCAAAATTCCTCTAATTCTAGAACAGGCCATACACTTACATGGGCAACCTGTAATTAGCTTTATCTAAATCAATAAAAGACCATATGCAAAGCTTATTTGTTCTCTCTAAAATATTTCACTGAACTCTCAAGCAGATAAATGATTTCCACAGTAGATAATCTTGATCCAAACGTACCTGGTTCAGTGAGAGCTTTGAATTACACATCAATTTATGCTCAATTTTCCTCTCCCATCATATTCTTAGAAATAGGTGGATATTTTACCATTGATAAAATTAGTCAATGTGATGTTAAGAGTAAAAGGGGCCACATGAATAGCCAAAAAATGTTATAGTGCCTATCTATAAGAGTAGAGTAGATTTAACAAAGAAAATATAATGCTTACTCACCCCAATGCCCTTGCTGAGATAAAGTCCTCCACCACGTACAAGAAGCCAGAGACCACCATCAGCTCGCCAGCCCATGTTCTGGATTCGTCTTGCAACAGCCCTGTTATGTGGCTGCCAGTATGCCTGAGATAATGCATAACCATGAACAACATTTTAAGCTTGACTGTGGTGACATATTTTTTATGCAAAAAAAAAAAAAATCCTAGACGATGGAAAAATGAACAGAAACAAGATGCTTCTGGGGTCTTGTTAATGAATCTGGCAAAAATTGAAATATTATTCTCGAGAAGTAGATGATAAAGTAACTACGCCTTAAAATAATTGGATATTTCAGTTATAGAATCTCACCTGCCCTGGTTCCCATGTCAAATAGAAGTTACCACGGCTTGAAACAGCAACATAATTTCCTTCAGGTGAGCGATTCACAGTATTAAAAGTTCCCGTGTAATAGCTTGCGCCACTAATACCACTAGAAACTGTTCTGCAACAACATTAGATCATGCAGAAGTTATTTTGAATTTTGGTGTGGACATAAGTTGATAAAATAAACTATATAATCTGTTAGCTCTTCCTTGCAACTAAACTCTTTAACTCTTTCCTCTCAGGTCATCCACAGAGAGAAAAAGGAAAATGATAAGAAGATTACAGAAATAATGCTAGAAATGAGATCCAGACACTAAACATAAGAGGAAATGGTGCCATGAGAAGAGTAACTAAAATTAGATTAAAAAGAAGATGTCTAGAAAATGCAAAATAATTCATAAGGCCCAAACTTAGAGATTATGCATTTATTAAACAGCAATCCATATATAGCAGAACGAAATACAATAGATCTTATAATGGTTCCTCAATTGTATAAATGCCTAGGCAAGACCATCTACTGGGCATATCACCTTGGAAGAAATTTACCTGTTTAATGTAGCTGAAACAGTTTCCTGCACAGCAGCTTTCCAGTTGTATCCTTTGTTTGATGTAATATATATTGCTCCTTCATCAGTTACCATTTCGGCACTATTTTCTCCCGTGGCCTTTATATACACCTGTAATGTTCAAAAATAAAAATAGATAATAGCCCTTGTTCAGATTTTTAAAAGAACCAATGGGAATGCTATTGTTTGAATTCCCAGTGTAAATTCTTGCTGAAAACAATTTGTTGTCGAGGTAGCAAGAAAATTTTACTTAAGTCCTAAACGAGGGACAGGATAAGTAAAATAAGTTTATTTCAAAAATAAAATGCTCGTAGAAGCAGTGCCAATACAAAAAACTTAAAAAAGAGAACAAATTGTACAAAAAATCAGATTTTGAATACCAAATCTCTATTCACTTTCTTTTTAAGTTTATACGATTTCAAATCCATCATTATGATGAGGGCTCTTCATTCCATGGCAACTTGCATGTCATCGTAAGATCTTTGGACTTGTATTTGCCAAGCATGGCATCAATACTTCCAACACGACATTGTTTCCCAGGCCGCATAACATTTCCATAAACAGCCATTTCAATTATGTCAAGTTCATAATCACTGAACTTCACATCACAAGAGTAACCTTTCAGTTGAGTTGTGTCAATTCCATTGTTGTCTGACTTCAACCTATTTGCCCTGGTTTGAAGAATTTGACAATTCCCCACCACAGATTCACCACCTTTTGAAAAGGGGATGATGTGGTCATACTCATAGCAAAGGCAGCCATTACAGGAGTGGAGACGTTTGCAGACTAGGTTGCCAGCAGCATCTATCCTCCATCTATCAGGATGTCGACTTGGGATTCTTTCAGCCTTGTCCCAGCACATGTTCTTTGCCTTGGAGTCAAAGAATCTAGGTCTCTCCTCTTTGTATTTCTTCATACTACCACCACCGTGGAAAAGCTGAGTTGACCAAAATTAAAAATCACCTCTAACTCGCTCTGTACTCCTTTTTTTGGACTATATAAACTTTAAGTGAAGAACATACTTATCAATTATAGTCCTCCTATTTTTATTAATGGGTCAGCACATTTGTTTAAGATAACTCTTCTATAAACAAGCATACTCAAAATGCGCAGATTTAAAATTCTTCTGAGCACATGCATGCTCTCACTCAATTTAAAAGTAAGAAATTTAGACATATGACATATACCATGATATTGGTCTAGTTCCAGGTTCCATTGAGGCTCCAAAATCCATTTCTAAACGTTGTGTCAAGTATGTCATCTCATTTAACTTCCTGAAGAAAGCAAAAATTTTAAGCACAACTACCCCCCAAAAAAATTTGGAAGCAAAAATTTGAAAATTTCCTTTTATTGATGACAAAATCTATACATGTCTATCAGAAACGGAAGCAAAAAGTTTGAAAATTTCCTTTTGTTGATGACAAAATCTATACATGTCTATCAGAAATGGAGTGGAGTCCTGTACCCTACTTCTTATACAATGTGTGTCTCTTATATTGCGTTGTGTCCTCCTTGTCAAGCTGTTTTTGTAGTCATCCTTGATACCAACGATCAGAGGTTGCATACTGTAAATGGAAAGAAGCTATGATATTGCACCTATCGTTTGGTGCGCTGCGAGATTTGTCCATGTCTTTCCAATCTTGGCATTCTTGCCCTCAATTACACTTTTCGCAGCGAAAAACATCCTTTCCATCCACATCTGTTAGAAAATGCAGTTAGGTGAGTGTGTTGTGGAGGAGAACAGTGGGCGTGGCAATGGTGGAGGAGTGGGTGGTTATGGAGTGTGGAGGGAAGGGACTGGGGCTGGGGCTGGGGGTTAAGTTGAGGGTGTTGGGGATTTGAAGAAGATGAAGGATTAAGTTTCTTAGATGGTTTTAATTAAAATTAAATGGTAGGGATTAAGTGAACTCACAAAATTGTCCTTCTAAATTATGTTATGTTTGAGTCACGTGCCCACTTAACGGCATTTTCTAACTGATGTGGAAGGAAAGGGTGTTTTCTGCAGTGAAAGGTGGAATTGAGGACAAGAATGTCAAGACTGGAACGATAAGGACGAATTTCACAGCGCACCCAAACGATAGGGGTGTTTTGTGCAAATTAGCCCCAGGGAAATAATGAACTGAAGAACACTATCTCATCAACATGAACACTGAGAATGAAGCATTTCATGTCAACTAAAACATTCCAAACTGAGATAATTACAGAAGATTGTATTTTACAACATCAAAGTTCAAATGTGAAGATCAAAAGACTTGTGAAAATATTCATAGCTAGAACCGTAATGACCTCTTGGCTTATTTCTTTAGACTTACATCCTTTTCCTCATAGTAACTTATTTATGGCTACTTACATATTAATATATCTCACATGAGTGTAACTTCATCCATTCGACATGAAGTTACAAGCAACGTGTTTAAGAAAACCATAAGACTCTTCACAGGCACTAATCTAGGAGATGTCCAATTCCCATATTTGATAAAGTTCACGATAAGCATTTTTACAACCACCTTCATCTTCAAATGGTTATTATAGGAACTGTTAAGCAAAATCTGATACCAAATAATGCAATTGCTGCAAAGGCAAAAGCTTCAAATGCTACATTCCCCATATTTAGAAGCATATATTGGAGAACTGATAATTCGTTCACCGAATCAGGATAAACGCGAAGACGATGTCAAAAATTATTGTTACTATTGGTGATTATCACTGACATGCTAAAATGAATCCTTACAAAAATAAGTTGCACTAGTTTTTGAAGATTAATATTGTGGGAAGCTATCCAAAGTTCCAGGCCATTGAGAAAATATCAGAGGATAAAGATGGTGCTGCATCTGGTGATCGAAAAGCTATGTTGTAACCTTAACATTGGTAAGGAGATTTGAAGCCCAAGCTAAAATTTAGGGATGTCATTAATATTTAAGTTCAACACATAAAAAAGATAACACCCATTAATTTAGAATTTTTAAAATTCTGGCCTGCAGCGTGTCATTATAGCAAAGACTCCAGCACGGTTTGTAGTATTATTGCACAAGTAATGAACCAGATATTGTAGATACTGAATGAAAATTTAACACAATAAAAGAACAAGATAGACTTAGGAAGATTGTGCTTACCATATCACCAGGAAGTTGAGAACTTAGTGGTATGCGTTGCCATGTTTCTCCAGCATCAGAAGTGTACAACAAAATAGCAGGTTTTCCAACAATCCAACCCTCCTTGCCTTTGAAGCTGATGGAGTTAAATCTGTAATTGAAATCTTCTTCTTCTGCAGAGGCTATTGAACGTGGTACCCATGTATTTCCTCCATCTTTTGTCTCCAAAATAGTTTGTCTAGTCCCCAATAAAAAACCTGCCAAGCCAACCAAGCTTGAGTTATGTTTAGAATAGGTTAACATCGAACAATAGCTTGGTCTAATTTTTGGATAGACACTTTCAAGCAAGCTAGCCTAGGTTGAAAATATTCAATATTAATAAATTTGATGTTTGATCTACAGAATATCCAACGCCACTATTTACAAAATTGTTTGCCACAAATCGTTGAAGGCTTGATTTAATCTCTTTCCACCTACATAATTGATCTTCTTGATCTCAAACTTAATTAAAACCTAATCATTTATACGGTTTCTTAAAACAAATGACGATGAATTTGCCACTTGAAATCCCTACAAGTAGTTGGAGCATGATGCATCACCAAGAAGGTCAATTGTAATTAACCCTTTTATTATTTTGGTCACTCGCTCCCAAGGACGATAACTACTTTGCGCTAGAACCTTTCAAACAGGGAATGAAAAACAAAGCTGGATCAAGAATAGATCAGGCTTATCAAACAACTATCTTTGAGGTAGCCCATAAAGAATACTCAGCAAAGACAACAGTGATAGGTCAAAGAAACTCTTGGTTCAGGTTCAGATTTTAGCAGACAACCTTCTGTTAAGTGGCACAAACATGTAGCATCTTTGGTTTATAAGCCCGAAAATGAATAGCATTGGTTAAAGGATCATTTATTTGAGTGCCTCCGATAAGAATAGTTGATCAAATTTATTCTCTACATATACCACTTGTTTTGGAGACAAAAAATCAAAAATTGTTGATGACTCTTATTCTCCCATTTCTGGTAAAGTGATGGTCCAAATAACTCAATCCCTAGTTTTGAATCAGTTCTACATGTTCCACATTTTACCTATAATCTTTATCCACAGGCAAACTCACCCAAGATTTAAGACTTGACGATGAAAAAGATAATTGCAAATTAGACTGGCCATACTGCTTGGATACAAATTTGGAGTTTAATAATCTAGAGTCGAGACCCTCAAGGCTTGCTTTCTACTACTACTACTACTATAATAAATCTAAGTCAGCGTTGGCATAGACACATAGGTCATTTTCCCCTTTAGTTCTAAAAAGAATCTTTTATTGTCTGGTTCAAAGACTTTACAAGTGTTCCCCTTCTCCTATCCTTTATACACACTAAAATATGGCAACCTAAAAAAAATGCATTTGTCGTCAATGTACTGAAGATAAAATTAGGGTCTATGGCCGAGCAGAATTTGGTTTTTCTTGATGTCATGTCAGCTATCGTGGTTAATAATCAATAATGATCTATGCATCTTTAATTCCTACAATTAACGTGTCTTATAACGAAAATTAATACTAGTATACACTTAGGAACCAATTTCACAAAGAGCCAAAAAGTTGCCCCCAAACTCGTGTTCTACTAAACTACACAAGCAAAATGAGTATGCAAAATTAAATAGCCCTTTTACAGATAAGCAAAATACCGTGTTTAGGATCATCTGGAACAAAGGAAATGTCAAGAAGGACGACACCAGGGTCAATTGGCAGGAAAACTCTTTCCCATTCAGACAGTGGTTCTTCGGCAGCTAATGCACTTCCATATTTTCCTACCCCGACAAAAGGCGAGAGAGAAATGGCGATTGCGGACTCGGACATCAACTGCCTACGGGTAATTAAAGAAGATTGGTCTTGAGAAGAGGAGGAGGAAGCTTTGGGGACCAGGCGATGAGGAGGACGAAACTGTGTGCGGTAAAAGTGAGATGTGAATAGAGAGTGGAGAGATGGTCCTGCTTTCAGTGCTGTAACAGCTGAAGAGTAATCTGTGAGTAGCTGGAGAGCTGCCATTGTTAAGCTCAAGCTCGCTCTCTCTCTTATCCGAATTGCGGTTGATATTATTCTATTCTCAACGGCTTTAAGGGGAAGGGGTGAAGCGTGTCCACATCCACTCCAGAATATTACTGGCTATTATCAAACAAGTTCCTAATCAAATATATGAGAAATTTGCATAGTTGGTTTTCAAACTATCGTTCCACTACCAAGTTGGTCTTTTGAGTTTTAAAAAGAACAAAAATCTAACCCGAAACGAACGTTCATTTGATTCTGATTTCTAATACGAATATAAACCATAAAAGTGTGATGAACGATAATTTAGACCTTCGAAATTTGAAGCACACGTCACATCAATATAACAATTTGTGCACATCATAGTATCTGAATATCAAGTAAATATTTAATTTTTCATTATAATTATTCAAACAATCTACAATCATCAAAATTGTTCAAATTTTCGTTAAATGATAAATTAGTGGAATTTATAATTTTGTAGTCAAATGTGTCTATGATCGGAAAAACTTGTGTTATACTAAGAAAAAATTGAAATACCTATATATCATACTGTCGTTTTCAATGTGACATTAAATTATGTAGCAAAAGCTCCCTATATCTTTGAGAATGGAGTATACCCTTTTCAAGATTCACAAATTACAAAAGAACATACTCTAGTCAAAAGCTGACAATAGGGCGAAGTGGCCCCATTGCCCATCCCACTCGAGATTTTCGAGAGTTAAGGCCGAAATTCAAAAATAGAGAAATTACAATCACCTCTTCTAAGATTTATGATAATAATAGAGATATCTTCTTAGTATGATGGTATTTTTTAAACTCAAGTGATCTCATCTAAATGAAAAGCATTAAAATGTTATATTTAATAAATAGTAAGAAAGAAAAAATATTACATCTTAGCAAACTATAAGAAAGAAAAGTATAATTTAAATATAATAAAATAATAATTCTAAAATAGTATAGAGTGGTAAAATATAAAATAAGAAAATTATCAAGGAAATCTGTTAACTAAAGTAAACCTCATTGGTGGTTTCTGAAATTGTTTAAAATAGAGGGAAGGTCTATATAATTATCATAATCTTCGGGAAAAGTTCATGTAATTTGCGCTAAAACATATCCACATTTCAAACCCCGTTTCTTATTTATTTTTTAAATATGATTTAAATTTAAAATATAAAATAAAAGTCAGGACAGGGAACGAATACCCCATCTTTAACCTGGCTCCCCGACGGGGGAGGTGAAGTTGGAGACATTTTGCAATCCTTAGAATGCCTTGTTTAAGTTTTCTTGCCAAAGGCTGCAAGTCCCAGCCTCTTCTGCAGTACTCACGTATTCAATGATCAAATGGCAATAGCTTTGAGAAGGAAAAAACTATGCACACACCTCAATATACAGTTACAAGATAATATTATCGATCAACGATTCAACATAGAAGATTTTGGGGGGGGGTTGGGGGGTTCACTGAACCCTCGATAGAAATGTCATTACATCTATAATGGTATCCTGTCTCCAATACAAATGTAAAATACCTCAAAGTAAAAATATGTAAATTACAGATATAAACAAAATCATCCCCCCACCCCCTCACTCTCTCCAATGAACATATGAAAGTATCTAATATACATCCCTATCAAGGTTCCACTCCCCATGTATATTGTCCTTTAGACCAATATTCAGATGCAATGTCATCCAAATATAGTAACTTACTAAATCTAATTTCCCTGTTTCCACTTCTGCTATCTCCCATTGACTGATGAATGCTTAAATAAAATTTGAAAAAGAAAGTGCTTAACTGGATCGATTAAATAATTTTTCATTAATCAAGTGCTGCCTTGTTTCTTCGCCCCATTGGCTTAGGAAGGGGGGCAGTAGAAAGGGCATGAAAATCTGGCTTCAAACTCGACTTTGGGACGGGCCTTATGGATGAAGATGCACAGTTATCTGAATCCTGCAAACTTGATGTACTCGATGACTTCCTTACTGCAGCAAAACTGTCATGAAAAGAATCCCCAAAACTTATAGGAATTGGGTTAGGCCCACCTGCTTGAGCATCAAGTCCTGAGACTCGGCTAGCAGATTTGGCTCTGAGAGCCAAGCTTTTGCCTGTAATTGCTGAAAATCCACCACTATTGCTGTTATCCTCCTTCAATAGCTTTTCTGGGGTGTGTGAAGTCAAGTTGGCATTATATTTTGGAAGCATTCTGGTCAATTTCTCAATCCATTTACTCGAGCTATTATCTTCAGTGTCTTGAGAAAATACCCGATTGATCAAATTACCATTATTTGACGTCATGTCACTAGCTACACTTTTTGATTTTCTATGATGACTAAGCGGTGGGTTAGACATAAGTGAAGATTTTCCAGAATGCCCATCCTCTAGATAATGAGCTCCATTTTGATACAGAGTCATTTCAAAACCATCTGGTGCAGCTTTCTGACTTGCTGGTTTAAGACCATAAAAGCCTTGAAGGTTGCTCATGGCTGGAGAAGCTTTCTGTCCAAAAGAAGATTTCATTTTCAGTGACTGAAGTGAATCAAACAAGTCAGAGTGCCTGCGGGCAGATGGAGTCTGCTCAGAGCTGCCTGATCTGCAAGTGGAAATTAATTAATAAGTTGTTCTTTAACCTCATTATTTAACTTCTATCATTTTCTTCTTTTCTTTCTTCTTTTTGGCTGGGGGATGGGGCTTGAAATCTGACTGACACCAGAGTCTTAACTAAAAAAGTGCCTATAAGAAATCATGTTTATTTCTAGTGGAAATGTATATGATGAAAGACAATCTAGGCAATTGGAACCCGTCATAATTGGAATCTGCATAAAAACATAATTGCTTGGAAAACAGTTTCAAAAGTGAAGTAAGAACAAAAATCTTAACCAAAACCAGAAATAAGTGACTGTCAATCAATTCCCTAGACCCCCTCCTGACCTAAACTCAAAACCAGAAAATAAAATGAAAATTTAAGTAGACAAGTAACAGCAACCAATCACAGACCAACATAATGCGGAACTATTACAAATAGTTCTGAAATATAAAATGGTAAACTCAACCCAAAACCATAAAATAAAATGAAAAAATATATAGACAAGTAACAGACAACCAATCACATGCCAACATGACATGGCTTCAATGTCAAAGTAACGCAAAACTATTAACTCACATAGTTCTAAAATAAAAAATGGTAAAAGAGATAGTGAATGTAAGAGTATAAATTCCTTAGTTTGAGGTTTTAATGCAATGTTGCTTCTCTAGTTTCTGGATTTGTGGTTATATTTGCCCTAAAAAGTCAGCTTCCTTGTTATAATTATGAAGTAAATGACCTCAAACTTATCGAGCCCAATTACTGATTTGTCTTCTTCAAACTACACCAATATCCTCAGCCACTTATTGCCATAAAAGCTTCATGTTTTGAAGGACTAAAAAACAAAAAGGAAAACGCTACGTTGAAGAAGAAGAATGCTATAAGAATAACTTATCGGTCCTATTTGGTGCAAAATAAAACAACAGTCTGCATGGATGGCCCATGCTTGAGAGCTCCGTCATGTTAACCATCAAGGAGCATATGTTGCTCAAGTTTAGTACTCTCCATTAATAAAAACAGTAAGTCAGCTCAACAAAAATAGTAAAAAGCACATTTAACTCTATTGAGCTGTTTACTTTACATGGGATATATTTAATTCCAATAAAAAAATATCACATCTTTTTGAACTATTAGTTCTCCCAATCAGAGTAATCTAAGCTATACTCAGATCTTGACACTTGATAGTCTGTTAGTATCAATTTCTCAGGCTTACATGTAAGGATTGAGAATCAACAGCCGGCAGTTAGCCATGCAATGTAATGAGAAGTTAGAAAGCTCAATGACAGAAAAGAGAGCTACCAAAAAAAAAACCCCCCCTTTTAAATGAGCTGGCAGATAGAGGCACTAAAATGGAGGAGAAACTAAGCGCCCATTTGGCCCCCCATTATTCCACGTTATAATGAGAGGAATAGTAATTTTCTAAAGAATGTATGGTTAGTAAAAAAGGAAAAGTTTTTAGGTTTACGTGTAATATTATTTTATTAGAGAATGTGTGGTTGATAAGAAGAGAGAGAAAAATGAATTATAATTTGATGAGGAATAATGGGGGCCAAACGTGGGCTAAATGTGAATTTCAAAAGTAGGTTTGGAACTGTAAAGACGACTCTCCATAATTAACAAAAACCATTTACAATGGAAATTACAAAATTCTGTTGCTATTCATAGTATTCCAAGAAAATGAATGAAATTGTTATCAGCTGACAGGCTTCTTCTTTTTTCAAGTATTTCCTTTGCTAATATATAATAAAATACTATTCTCACTGAGATAAGTTTTTCTTACTAATGTGGTAGTGCATTTTAATGACAGACAGTGAGTAAAAAAATATTATGGTCCCTACTTAATTAAAGTTGCCGCAGACTGTATCAGTTTGTACGGAAATTGTTCACAACATCATATGAGCCACTTGGAATATCAAAATAGAAAAAGCAGACGAAATAAGAAAAAACATATTGAAGACAGAAATACCGTTGAGGAGTGTCAGGACCATTGGACAAGCTAGGTGAAGGGGGATGCCTCCCTGGCAATGGTATATGAATTGTCTTCAGCGCAAACATTTGGAGGTCTGTTACCAACCCATTCATCTTCTTTATATCTGCCACCTAGCCCATCCCCAAAATAAATGCATAGTTAGATCAGCAAATCTTTCATCCAAAATTTAAACCACAAAAAGAAAAAATAAATATGGGGGGTTTTCTAGTTTGTGATTTTTTTACGAGAACAATAATGAGGAGTTACAGGAGGAGCATTGTCAACCTTCGAAGCATGAGATTCGAGAAATCAATCACATACCTAGTTTGCTGATTGTACATTGATAATTTTCAAAATTGTTTGATCAAACTCATACCCAAAAAGCCAAATAAAAGGCACGACGAATTTAAATAAAAAGACCTCTGAGAACTGGTAAGGTGAAAAGAAGGCCTATT